GCAACTTCTTGTTTTTATGAAGTTTCTGGTTTTTTCACTGTTTTTATTGTATCCTCATTTTTTCTTTCATACTCTTCATCCAGTCAGATGTTCTTTCAAAGAAACTTCCCTTCAGAGGCCCTTCATCCTCTTGGCCCGGTTTGGATTTTTTCTCCAGACTTGCTCTGTGGGTATTATCTTGAGACTTCCCTTGACTGGTTTGCTCTGTTAGAACCTCTGCTCTCCCAGGATCATCATTCACCCTCTTTTTCTTTGGTTTACTCCTTTGTTTTCCTGGATCACGTCTTCAAATAACTTACTTAGAAAGAGTGTTACTGTTTAATTTTTTTTTAGTTTTCTTATGTTTTAAAATGTATTTTCTACCTCTGTGATTGGTTATAGTTAGGTTGGGTATAGAATTCTAGTTTGAAAATCATTTTCCCTCAGAACTTTGAAGGCATTTGCTTTGTTGCCTCTGAGAATTCAGTATTCCATCCCTTCTATTGAATCTTTTAATTAAAAAAAAAAGTATTTAAAAAATTTGAGAGCTTTTTCCTGTGCTGTCTTTTTCTTCCTTCCAAGTATCCTGGCCTTGTTTTAATGGATGTATATCACCTTGAATCTCAAGCTATGTCAGTGAGGCCTTCCTTGAGAACCCTCTGTAAATGAGCCTTCTTCTGCATCAGCCCCCTCCTTGCCAGGGCTCTCTGCACTCCAGGCCTTTTGCACATTCTGTTCTCTCTTTCTTGGTCTACCCTTATGCCTTTGATCTAAACTAGAGGTACTTTTGTTGTAATTCGATTATGCTTATCGAGTAAGTAGTTTGATATTCAGATCTGTTGCTCAGATGGGAGGTCCATATAAGAGAGTTAATTAGGGAGTCATCAGTATATAGGTGGTATTTTAAGATCATGAGATGGAGTAGAATCACCAGGAAAAGAATTTGTAATAAGAGAAGAAAAAAGGCCCAGGACCTAGGTCTGAAGCTTCTGACAAGTAGAAGCAGAGAGAGAAAAAGGAGCCAGCAAAGGAGAGACACAGAGGACCGCTGCTGAGCCAAGAGACAAACTAAGAGAGTGGGACATCAGAAGCATGCTTCAGAAAGGAAGGAATTGTACCGGCTCTGCTGAGAGGATTGATGATGTCTGTTGTGTTGGCCCACGTGGAGGTCGTCAGTGGCCTCAGCAGACAGGGTTTTGGTTGAGTAATGGCAGTGGGTAGAGGAGGAAATGACAGGGGAAGGGAAGCTAATCAGATATTAGCTGGAGGACGATGTGGACTCCAGATTTCTTTCTTTAAAAGATCTTATTTTTAAACAATCTCTACACCCAACATGGGGCTCGAACTCACAACCGCAGGATCAAGAGTCACATGCTCTACCGACTGAGCCAGTCTGGTGCCCCCCGATTTTTCTTTCTTTTTTTTTTTTTTT